CGCTGATCTTGAGGCAAGTTTCCCGACAGCGATTCAGAACGCTAACGTATAACGCTAGCTTATCGGAAGCGTTACGGTTGCCCGGCGTCGATTTAATTACCGATTAATCCCAACTCCTTTTGTCCCCCTTTGAATAACGTTTCGCGCCCGCTCCGACAGACACGGTTCCCCGTATCACCCCGGCTCTCTTAATAACGACGATAAATCCACAGCTGGCAGAATGCGTCGTAGGCAGCGGTGTCTCTTTTTCTTCGCCGGCGTGGAGGATTATTGCACCCTCCCGCTCGAACGAAATGTCGCAGACCCGCCTCGATTCCTACGATATTATTAAAAATCACGGCGCCGCGGCCGATCGCAATTTAGATTCCGCGTCTTTCCCGCCGCTGTACTCTCTTGCAACAAATCATCCGCGATCGTTCCCTCTCGCTCTCGTGCCCCACTCGCGAAACGACCGACGGGAAAATAGTAACTGGATGCAGATCGGAAATGACTGCGAACCGATAACCGGATATCAAATATCCCGCCGTTTGGGCCGCCGGGCGACGAAAAAATACGACCTATCCGATAAGTCCAACTAACCATATTCGACTGACGGCTGAACCGTGTCTCTTCACTCTACAGTTCTCGTTCCAGGGTTGCCTTGGCGATCACTTTGGATCCAGCATAAATTTTCGCACGGATCCTCCAGAAAGCTGAATTGCAAACGCTTTGAAATTCGTGCAATAATTTTTTACATTTTTAAATTGTCTGGTACGGTTGGTTTATAACATTGCGTTGTCCAGAACGTTTGTAGAAATTTTTGGGAGAAATTCAAAGGCGCAGAATCTCCTTTATTTTGTAAGGTAATTATTGAAGGTAATTTAAGGTAATTTGGTAATTATTAGACGAGCTAAGGGTGTACAACTCGAGTGCTGCTATTTTTAACCGACTTCGAAAAAGAGGAAATTAATCAATTTGACATGTATATATATATTTTTTTTCTAAGGGTAAACTAAAATTCATATAACCACATCATTAGCGTACAGATGAAATTAAAACATCCTCATTACTTACTAGTATCGACGAAAGAAATTGCAAAATCCTCAGCCACATCGTGCATACCAATTCAACATTGAATTTAATCGAACGAAATTGCTATACTCGTCTCGGAATAACGTATTTTCGAAGTGAAACTTTAATGGGACTTCCATGAAAAATACGATCATAATCGCGGTGCAATTATCAGCGAAATGCCACTCTGTCGCCCCGGCGCTAAATGTTCGTCAACCCTTAAGGTCGTGGGGGAAATATTAATCCTAACGAGGAAGGTGGCTCGCCTTTTTGAAGAGTTGCAGCTGTCGGTAGTGTGCGCACTCGTCTCTGCGAGGATCGCGCAAACCTTTGCTCATTACATGAACGAAAGTCTGAAAGGGAATGGATTAACAGAGGGAATTATGCATGCGCTGGAGCAGCTTGACGCAAACGTGTTTTTAAACTTGGCTTTCAGCGAATCGTCGCCTCGCCGATGTGTTGGTCTATTACTCCCGCGACGGTCAATATTTTCTTGCAATTACGTCGATTACTTTCGCGGTGCAAATACCAATTTTCTTTATTAGACTGCGCGTTGTTTTTCGGAGAGTTTTGATCCGGCGAACGGGCTCGATATTGAAGCTTCGCGAATTCGAGCGTTCTTGTAATATTTTATTTCTAATCGAGGGGTGTGTAATTTTTGGGAAATTAAGAAAAACTTTATAAAATTCAGATTTTTTAAATTTCCCTTCTTTTTTTTCATATTATAGCATAGGTACCTAAGTATGAAATTATTATAGGATTCCATCTTTCGTTTTCAAAGTCGTGGAAGGGAGGATTAATGTTTGGAGCTGGCTCCTTATTGCACTCTGTTCTAAAAAACACCTGAAATTTAAGAGATTTTTAAAAATTTTCTTCCAAACACATGTTTATTTTATTCTTAAAATACAGAATACGGAAAACCGTAAAATTAGTGCAAAATTCATTCTTCTTCCTCTTCTTCCTGAATTTTAAAAATCCGGGATTATGTTTTAACCTCCAAACCATTAAAAAAATAGAACTGTCTACGTATTACAGTACACCACCTCAATTTTGAACGTTTATGATGTAATCCTCAAATAGAGTGTCGGTTGTGTACTAAAGCTATGGGTTCGATATTAAAGCTTCACGAATTCGATATTAAAATATTTTATTTCTAAATGTGAACGTTTATGGTGCAATATTATTAAAGCTTTACGAATTAAAACGTTCTTGAAATATTTCATTCCTAAGTTTGACCGTTTATGGGATAATTCTTAATATCTCAATGGGGCTTTCGAATAGTATGCGGACAATCGTTAACACCAGAAACGAATTTCTCAAATTAGTAAAGATATCGGTAGTAGCCAAGAAGTATAACATGTTAAATAAATTATAATTAAATTGTAATCATTGACGTCGCCCCTAATAATTAATTACAGACTCATATTTTCTACTCCTCGCGTAAAATATAATACCTAAATTCTCACCTAAAGTAAAAGCAAGATCGATGACTTCGTTCCCACGCGAGCTCAAGGAAGATAAACAGAATGGCGCGTCGATCAAGCTCGAAACGCATTCGCGAAACGACCCTTAAAGCAAACTCTGGCCGAGAAATTAAGGATTAAATTCTTTGTCGTAAAGAGTCGAGGGTAGAGAAAACTCATAAGGATTGATGAATCAAGCTACGAAGAGAGCAGGAAATAGTTCGCCCGTCGAGGAACTCGTGAATTTAACTGAATAATCAGTAAACTCCCATTACCCGCCTCCTTCTCGTACCCCCGGAGGCGGAGGGGCGCGGAATAGGGATTAATTATTTAGCCCGGAGCAATAAGATATGTCAAAGGTGCCTCTAACTGCGGAACACGGGGCCGCCGGCCAGGGGTTCGTTTGCTGCGTTTTATTAATGGAGCTTGCCAGTGACATAAGAAAATCGCGATTTTATTCCCCGCTCCAAGAAAGAATAATTGCCCCGTATATTAACCGTACCGGCGTTTAAATTACTCCACGAATTGTTACAACGATAAAAATAGTTTAACCCGGCCCGCTGACCAGGCGCGGCCGCGTCTAATAAAATTATAACCGCATAAACGCGAAACCCGTCGGCCCGAGGCGGAGTTCTGGTTCGTCGGATGATAAAATGAGTTATTTTCAAGAGTGTGTGTTTCGAATATAAATTGCCGCGCGACAGTCGAATTAAGCGTCGCGATTTATTACCGAACAAGGAATTGAACAAGTTTTTTCCCGACTAAACGAGGAATTCAACGAGTTATCCAAATAGTAAAAATATTCAAATTTATGCGAGTTAGACGCGTCGTGCACGGTGCACGAGTTAAACATGTTGCGGCAGGTATAACGTGTAATAAATGAAGGGTCTTCCGGGATTGCATAATAAAACGTGTGACGGTTTTTAGTGGCGTTCTTTTGTCGCGTATAGAATTCTCTTCAAAAGGATATAACTTTTTTAAGCCTCCATGTACCGTCATAAAATTTTAATGACGCAACTTCGGAATCATATGGCTTTGGAAAATGCAATCAATAAATGGATCGATTTCTCGTTCAAACAACCGCAACTCCGCCTTAAGCCCTCGACTTGGAACCCTGGAACAACAGTTCTTATGAAATTAACCGTGCACGTGTTTCAAAATTTACCATACAGTGTTTTCTTACGCTGGGATTTGATAGCTCTGTAGATCCACTTAGTATACAGCAAGTACATTAATTAATTTGTTGTAGAATTCAATTCTTGATGTGCATAATTGCTCAACGGAATCATGAATTTATGAGTGTATAGGTAACCGAGAAATAATTTTCATAAAAATATTAAATGAAATTTTTTTGACTGGAAGGTGGTTAATTCAAAGATTAATTAAGGAATTAATATTTAAGTGACGGAGAAATAATTTCGCTCCAAGAATAAAATAAAATTCTTTGACTGGAAGGTGGTTATCTCAAACGTTCTGTAAGGAATTAATATTTAAGTGACCAAGAAATAATTTTCGTAGAAATATTAAATGAAATTCTTTGACTGTAAGGTGGTTAATTCAAACATTAATTAACGAATTAATATTTAGGTGACCAAGAAATAATTTTGCTCCAAGAATAAAATAAAATTCTTTGACTGGAAGGTTGTCAAACATTAATTACCGAATTAATATTTAAACGACCAAGAAATAATGTTGCTCCACCATGTCAACAAATTTTTCACTTTTCCTACTTCTTCCCCCTCCGCGGTAATCATCGCGCATTGCTCCATTAAATTCCACCATCGTCACTCACGCCCCCCTCGCCCTTCAAGGTAACGACGTCATAACGCGTTACTGTGTTATGCATTACGTCCCTCGTAACACGGGTGTAAAGTAGCGATGGCGGGAGGGAAATAAGTCGTAACAGAGCGCTGATTTACGGAGCGCGAGTGTGCATTCCTACGTCTTGGGATTTAAGGGGAGGATCGCATCTGTAGTCGTACATATCGAACCAGCCTAAATGACTCCGTGCTGACGAATGCACGTCATTAGTGAGGAAATTTTACGCTCGGAACAGTCTCGCGTATCGCGCGATTGGCGGCATTTCTTTTCCCTAAATTGCAGCGAAATTTCAGCGGACTTCTAGATGACAGCAATAACGGGACTTTTATTTCTCCAATTTTTTCCGTTATTTATGTGTATAATTATTAGAAGCATGTTCTATTGAAGTAAATTTTGTACAGTGAAAGACTTCATTTATTCTTCTTATCAATGATTTTATTTGAAAATCAAAGCGAACCATAATATAACTTGCTGTAAGAAATCACAGTAACTTCTGTGAGTTTAATTATTTAATATTTTTAACAGTGCAGCAAAATAGCAAGAATTACTTATCACTGTAAAATTTTAAGTTTAATATTGTAAAGTATTTGTACGTCTTCGGAGAGGTTCGCAAGGTAATTACATTACATCTGTCGTAATTCCAACATCGACCGCGCGTGCTTTCAGGTGTCCTGGATGAGAAGCAAGGACCTCCACATCCTCACGTCCGGGAACACGCCGTTCAGCTCGGACGCGAGGTTCGGGCCACAGCACACACCAGGAAGCGATGCATGGACCCTCAGGCTGGACAACGCGAGGAAGGGAGACTCGGGCAAGTACGAATGCCAGGTGAACACCGAGCCCAAGATGATGTATGCTGTCCAGCTCTCCGTGCGAGGTAATTACTATTTCTCCGGTCTCCTTTATTTAAATCCACCCACTAAATTGAATGACCCTTAAGCTGTACTTCGTTTAATAACTTTAATAATCACCGCTCGCTGAGAGTACCCGGTGTACAGAGTGATTCCTAATTGTATCTCCATATTCCAGAAAATGAAACAAGGGTCGGTGGCCTTTAACGTCGAGAGAGGTTACTTACACATTTCAACAAAAGTGGGGTAACTTCACCTGTACGAGTAATTCACCCCTATTTCTTTTGGTTACGTCTTTCATTTTAAACACATTCTCATTTATTTCTTTATTTTGAAACGGATGGTCTAGGAATCTTATTTTTTTTTTTAGGCAGTGTTCACTTGAAGATGATAACTTGTGATGAATTTTTAAATGAAATAAGAAATACATTCGCTATTAAAATTATTTAAATTCTCAAACAAGAACAATCTTACAATTCTCAAGTGTAAAAAAAATTGATCAATGTCCATTTGCATTGACAATTAAAATTATCACTCGAATATGTTAACTTGTGATCAATTTCTAAGTAGACTAAAAAAAAACATTTATTATTAAAATGAAGTAAATCCACAAACAAGAACAATCTTACATTTCTTAAGTGTAAAGAAAAAATTCATCAATATCCATTTGCATCGACAGCAACTGTCAGTTAAATCACCACTCTAACACGTTAATTTGAGATCAATTTCTAAGTAGAATAAAAAAAAAAAACATTCACAATTAAAATGAAATAAATCCACAAGGACAAGCTTACAAGAATAATCTTTCTTAAATGTAAACAAAAAAAAGTGTAATGGTAGTCAACTGCATCTCGCGATAATTTTAAAATCCTCGATGAACTTCCTCCTTAATAATAAAACAATTCTGCAATATCTCGAATCAAAGATGAACTTGCACTACTTCCACGATAAACGCCTGACGTAATAAAGTCATCTCGTCGTCAAGATTCCGGACACGGTCGCGAAGCGTGTAGGAAATAAATGTCGAGGTTCCTCGGGCAATTTGAATAGTTATTTATCTGTGGGGGCAGTTCGGCGACCGTGTATGACAAATTGCGTTTTGATGACCGCCTATTGCACTTTTGCTTTTAGATCCCGACAAGCCGGAGGGATACGACGAGCCGCATTCTCAACAGACGCGTATAAGTAAGTGCACATCACGGAGACCAAGGTTTATTTCTGGCTGGTAGTACATTGCTACCAGCACTTTCCTTAGCTTCATTGTAGCTCGCCTTTGCCGACGTTGGTTGCTACCCGACTCGGGATAAATTTAACTACCTGACAATCGAATTGGAGGTTCAGGGAGGACCACGGTGGCCGTGAAAGAGAGGCATTTACAGAAATTGTTTAAGGAGAAAGTATTCTATGAATTGTTTTCAAACCTTGTGTCTCAATGAAAGTTTAAATAATTATAAATATAAACAGACAGGTCTGCAAAATTAATCCTCCATGAGAAATAATTCGAACCAGTTCATTCTATTTCAACATCTGTTTGGAACAGACCAGATATTTCCATAAATTCCAACTTGAAATCAAGTAGCCATCTTTCTTAAATTTTTCAGGCATGACTCCATACTCTATGGAAACCTTGTCAATAATTTATAAACAATATATACTTCAGTTTGCAACTCCCAAAAATTCTACGATTTTCCTTCACAAAATTCACCGCGATATTCTCGAAACAATCTTTCGAAGGAAAAGCAAGAAAAATGAACTTTTTACAAAATTGCGCAACGTTATCCCCCTTTCAGCTGCGCGAAAGGGAGGGCCGATAAAATTTAAGCCCTCCGAATCGAGTGAAAAATACCGCGCGCAAACTAAACAACTCCGTGACTCTGTATTTTTATAGGTTCCAGGGATGATTAAAAAATGTTTTCAATCAAAATCTAGCGATGGATTGTCGTTCATTCCCGGCGTTTTATTGCAAATTTTTCCACGCGTACCGACAGCGCGCAGAGATATACGTAGCATACATACGTCAGCAATGCAATCAAAACTTCATCGAAAGTTTTTTCCGTGCCAGCTACTCACGGGAATTAATTCCGCCTTTTTCGCCGCCACGCTCGCCCCGCAGCTTTTTGCCTCTTACACACGCGCGGTTAGCCGATGATCATAATGAAATCGCGGCCGAGAACATTATCGCGTAATTGGAATCCCTCTCTATATAAGTCTGCGAGCCATAACCCGGGTGAAACTTAGTGGCTTAGTTTTTTATCGGTGTTATGTAAATTGTTGACGATTTAATCGTTGCCTCTAACAGGTCATTATTAACGATATGTTATACACATTCTATTCTATTCTATTCTGTAATAATTGAAAGTAAATTGAAAATACAGCGAGCCACGAAAATAAAAAATTTGACGTTGAATAACTTTGGTCTTTGAATGAATTAATATCCTGATTGCCAAATACTAATCTTCAAATCACCTTGTTTTTTTCTTTGCATATTATTTTATTGGGAAAGACTCACGGATATTCTGTAATAATCGAGAGCAAATTAAAATTACAGCAAGCCTCGAAATTAAAAAAATTGACATTGAAAACCTTGGTCTTTAAATTAAATAATATTCTAATTGTCAAATTCTAATCTTTGATTCACCTTTTTTTGTATAATTTTCGTTATGTTTCCTGGGTGTAAAATCGCACGCATTCTTTTCAAAAATTTCTACAAAAAATATATGACATTTTCGCTCCCTTTGACGATATTAACAATTCTCGTGCGTGAATAATCATCGCATTTATATCACAAATTTTTTAATGTAATTCCAGTTGTCCAAGCTGGGTGATTTATATTAGCTACCTACTATTTGATACTATTGCCCAGCAAGTTCGGAATATTATCTAATATAATAAACCGTAATTTTAACGTTCCTCGTGTAATTTGTTTTCAAAGCGTGGGCGACAAGTATTTTTTAGCATCGTTCGCACGATTTTATATTTATAAATACGCAATGTTAATGGAGATTGATGTATTTCCCTTGCACGGAAGAGGATGTAGTGACACCTTTATACACCGTTGGCCCGTTAAAAAATCACCCGACAGACGCTTTTTATTCCTCCGCCGGATCCAGCCGACATCAATCACTTAAGGATAAGTGCGCTTCCTCGCTGGCTTTGACGGCCGGGATCTGTCGTCGATTCTTCTTGCAGCGTCCTTCTAGACGCTTCATAATTCTTTCCAAGTTCCATCATTTCATCCTCGAGACGCGAGATTTCTGGACCGTTTCTTTATTGCTTCTAACTCCGGCTGAAAGTCTTTCAGGCCCTCGTCGAACAGTCACGAAATTACTAACGATATTATGTCGACGTGGAAGTAACCAGGGGCGCCTCCACTGGAAATATGGGGGATGCGTAATCGATTTACCTTAGGAGTCGATTTTAGTGAAAGGTGAAAATGGATTACGTGATGCAAATTACAAATTTCTTTCGGTCACTAATATTTCATTTTTATTGTGGTGTTCTTTTAATAGAGAACTCTATTGATAAAAAAAAAATTACATACATTTTTAACGAGGAGCTTTAAATTATATTAAGAGAAAAAGAATTTATAGGAAATTTGTATGTCCAAGAAACTGCAAAATACAAACGATATACAAGAATATAAAAAAGATTAAAAGTTCATGTTATAATATTTGCAGAATAAAATTAATTCCTGTTTAGGCTCAATTTTTGTAGGTACGTTCGCGAAGATTTCATTTTGAATAAAGATCCGCAGTCTAATAATGAGTAATCAATTTATTTTAAGAATCAGCTTTAATGAAAAGTGAAAATCGATTATGTGATGCAGATTACAAATTTCTTTGAGTCGCTAATATTTAATTTTTATTTTGATGTTCTTCTTACAGAGAACTCTAATGATAAGAAAAAATATTAATACAGTCTTAACAAGGGGCTTTAAGTTATATTAAAAGAAAAGGAAGTTAATTTTGCTGTAGGGGATCCGTCTAGAATTTTTCATTACCGAAAGGGGCCCTCAAAAATTTTTCCTTAATAAAGAAGTCCAAGTCCATGGAAGGTTGAACTTTGAGTATCCCTGTTCTAGCGAATCTAGGACGAAATGACATAGTACTTTAGTCCTGGGAAACCAAGGATATTACTTCTTTTACATAAAATCTTAACTGACACGAAGAGCAATAAATTTAATTAAACAGAGCAGCTTATTTTATTTAAAGCAAAAACCAAAATTCACTTATACTTGACAAAAATTAGGAAAGTCTATGTCGATTTTTGGCAAGTGGTCCACGTTCTGAATACATCAGAATAATTGAAAACAAATAACATGTATACATCCCAAAAAGGTGGAAAGGTGTGGAACAAAATGTAGTTCACTAAATATATGTAGGTATATCAAAATTCAAATATGCCTTAGAATTATTCTTAAAAATTGCCACGAACTTTCTGGACAACCCAATGCACAATAAATCTCAATGAATTATGCAGCCACCATCGTTGATCACCATTCTTTCCCATTTATCAGCCAGATTAAATATATAGAAGGTTCTTTAGAGCATAATTATTTATCACCTATAATTAAAGTTATTCATGAATCCCAATCGATATAAAAAAAGGACACAAAGTGGCCCAATTTCAGCAACTCCTCCAAATTCCCTTAAACTCGTCCCGACGCCTAGGAGCCCGATAGATAATCGCCAAAGTTCCACGATGGGCGAAAGAGCGCGGAAAAACAGGCTGCCGCGTCGTGTACAGTAATAACAGCATAACGTAATATTTCGTCGCGGAGAAATGCAGTTCCCGTGGGATTAATTCAAGTCTAATAGGATTATCCTTAATCCCGGTAGTCCTGGAAAACCTCCTCCGTCCTGTGGTCTTTTTCCTCGTCACCTCGGGTCCGCGGACGCAACGGTGTCTCCGAGGGCACGGTCGAAGACAACGTTGCGTTAAACGAGTCCCGCGACCGTGCTCCACCCCCGTTGAATAATGTATGCTTGTCCCGGCATTATCGCGGACTATGGAATATCCAACGCGCACGCTCCCATGGCCCATTGTTTGTCCCCTTTCGCTCGTAATGAATTATTAGGCCGGGCGTCCTTGTCTCGAGAACGCGACGTCGGACCCCTCTCTCGTTTGTTCGCACTTCAAACTCCAATTTCCGGGACGCTGGATCTCGCTACCCCCGGACCGACCGAGCAGCTTTCCACTTTTTCCACTCTTTTCTCGCCTTTCTCCCGCGGCGTCGACGTCGACGACCGTCTTCGTACCGCCCCGGTGAAAATAGGTCGCGTTTTAATATAGCGGCGAGACTTAAGGCTCGACCCCGCGGTAAGTGAATCGTAATTGTGATCCCTTTGGGGCGTCGCTCGACCTCTGACCCCCTCGACCGGAGGATTTTCTCACTTTTTTCGTGTACCTCGGACTTTCCCCGTCTTTCACGCGACACCTCGACGTTTCTCACTGCATCGTCAGGGGTGGCTGGGAATCGAGGGATTCTTAGTCGTGTTTGTTTTGATTCGAAGAATTTATATTTAATGTTTCTGAGATGGAGCTTTGGGATTTTTGTGGAATAACAAAATATGAAAACGAAGTCGTTTAATTGTTATCGCGTGTATTTTTATGTGAAATGAATAAATGGGATGCACCATTTGAAATTGATTCATTTTAGCAGACAGTAAATTATATTTATTTACAAACAAAATTCATGTTCAAGTTTTTGCGAAAATATTTTCTTTGTACAATTTTTGGTTAGACCTGTAACGTTTTATTTTTATTTTATTAGTAGTAATGAAAGTGTAAAATATTTTTAGTCTTGTGTAAATATTGCATGAACGTTAAAATAAAATTGACAGAAATATACATTTTTTTTTAGAATCATGCACATTTGTTTAAAATTGTCTGGCATTTCTCGGATACGTATAATAATTTCATCTGGCACTCAAAGGGTTAAAGAACGAAATTCAAAGGACACCTATGGGAAACCATTTATAAGTCAATGATGATGCTCGAGAAATATAAACAGTGTTTGCCATTCGAATAATAGATACCATTATAGTAATAAATCATTTCAACAGTCACCAGGATGTCCATCTACAGAATATCAAAATATCAGAATATGTTAAAAAGTAATTGTGATGTATATACATGGTGTCCTAGAATTAATGTAAGAACTGAAGATGGGAGATAGCTGCGACGATTCTGAACAACAATTTCCTTAACAGAAATGTTGGATGATGCTTCGTTTTTGAATTATTAACGAAAAATCACTGACCAATCGCAGCGTACAAGTAGCGCGCGCTCAACTGACAACGCCGCGACCTTGCATGGTCAGCCAATCCTGGCTCGAGCCTATGTTCTCGCGGCTGAGCGCGCGCTACTCGTGCGCTGTGATTGGTCGACAGTTTTTCCTTAATAATTCAAAAACGACGCACCATCCGAAATTTTTGCAAAGGAAACTATGGTTCAGAATCGTCTCAGCTACGCCCCCGTATATCTACAAATATAATGACACGTATTCAAGCACACAAAATACCTAGAAAATATTAATACAAAGAGGAACAGAAGAGTGGTTCGTATCGCGGTCGACAACGATACCGCTCCTCTGCTGTATCCTCAATAACAGCCAGGAAAGCAAGAATTCCTCCTGTTCTATTTAATTTCGCAAAAGGAATCGTCCTATTCTGCCATCCCTCGCCCACCTTGGCTAGCGAAAGGAAATCAAACGGTAGATACGAAATATTGACGTCGTTCATCGGTTCAAAGAAAGCGGGGAAGAGCGAGAAGAGGAAGAAGTCGCGCGGTTCAATTTCAAGCGCGAACTGGAGCGGACGAAACGCTTTTACGGCGACAGAAGAACGCGTCGTTTCACGGCGACACGCATATTAAACGAGTACTTGGCCCGACCCTCTAAATTAAAAACGTACGGACTCGACTATACGTCCCGCTGCCATTTTCTTTTTCGTCGTTTCACCGCGAAATACGTTCCCTTTCGCGGCGTTCGCATTAATTAAAATTATTGCGTAACATTAACCCCGCGATGACCTCGGGAGTATCTACTCTCCTCTCCCTCCTCCACCATCCCCCTCCCCTCACTTCGGTGTTACTTATAACTAGACCGCGGAACGTATGGTAAACGTACGAAGAATTTATGAATGTATGCATTTATGCAGAGTGTGATATTAATATTTGCAGAAATAATTTCGGAAACTGGGTTTGAGTTTCGTATTAGCGCTAACCATAAGTGAATTAATTTTGTGTACAAATATGAACATGAATTATAACGTGTTTACGTAATAATTTGTTCCTATTCTGGAATGACGCGAGGCAAGGTTGCATTTCTTAATTAATTTGTTGCTCTTGGTAGATGGATACTTTCCATTTCATAGTGGTAACACATACAGTCAGTATACCCTTTATGTTTATTGATGAAATTTGTCTAAATCAAATAAGTTTGATCTTTCTAAATAAATGTTTCATTACAACTATGCACTCCAAACCATTTCGACTACTTTTGGACCATTTTTGATTTGGCTGTAATTTTTTTACATTATAGTACCCCACTAAATACCTTTTTGTGGATTTTTTCAGATTATTGTACTGAACCAAAAGAAAACATAACGAATTTAAAAAAAAAAACGTTGTTTTTTCCTCAAATATCTATAACTCTGCTAAAAATTGACCGAATTAGACGTCTTTTTTTTTTAAAATGTGCGTACTTGAATGAACTTTACGAAAAAAATACAAATCAAATTTCGTCTCGTATATAATTTCTTAATTTTTCCAGAAACAAATTTAAATTTTTCAAATTCAGACACTTTTTATTTTCTCCTTCTTCTTTCTCCTTTTTTTTTTAATTGAAAATCATTTTTTAATACCTAATAATCCTCCCAATTCAAATCTGATACAAATCTCGATGAAAATAAGACACGAAGTGATTCCAACAGACAAACGCGACGGATACCATCAGAAACCCTTTGCTCCCAGCAAGAGGTTGCGCGCCCGTCTGGATATTAAACCGAAGAACGGATTACGTCAATTACGAAGTATTCGCGATACGTCAAGTCGACTGATGCTGTCAATTAAAAAGTTGCGAAAATTTCGTTCCCCGTGGCACGGTCGATCGTTCCCGCCGCTCCCTGAACTTCCGTCGGTAATATTTCTACCGGCGAGCTGTAATTAATTCGCCTCGAGGGGTGTTTTAATCAGCGGAGCCAAAGGAACGAAACCCCCGTTCGTCTAATGAAGTCATCGTGTAACCAAGGAATCTCCATTGATCGCGCCGATTCGCGAAACTTGACCCCGCGTACGCTCGCTAACGAATCCACTTTTCGAACTACGGAAACGTAAAATGGATTTACTGCTTTCTGTCGCGCGGGTGTTCTACGCCGTTGTAATTACTCGCCGGACCCTTGACGCCACGAGCTGCTTAACGTCGCTTCGGGCATCCGGCTGTAATTTATTTATTCGTGTCGCCGAGCTCGGTAGAAACACTTCTTAGAACGCGGAGCATTAGTCCGCTCGCTCCGGATACGGATAGGTTCTTGCGGTAGCGAAATACCCTTTGAGACGTTTCGCGTTTCGTTGTTCCGAACGTACACGGATGGGCGGAATGCATTATTTATTATGTAAGAGCATCGACGTGAATCTACAGGGTAGGTTAGTGGAAGATAGATTTGGTAATGGAAGGAACAAAAGATCGGGAAGAATAGAAAGAATATATCAATGACGATATAGGAAAGTAAGAGGATTCTAAATAAATGTAGAAAATATTGGAAGAAATTTTATCTCAGGTTTCTTAGTTTCTTTGAATTTTCTGATTGCTGATTTCACCATTTTATTCCTTTTTCCATTTGTTCCTTTAGGGACGCAGGACCGCAAGGGTTAATGAAGATTCTCTCAAACCTCAGCTGACTATCGGTAACCTTCCATACTACAATCTTCGACTGCACTTTACTTTGGCGAACCTAAAATTTAATAATTTTTGTTACATAATCCTGTAGATTTTGTCGCGAAAAATCGGAAAATGCTAATTTTAAGGCGTGGAATCTACTGGTTCAGAAGTTATGAGCAGTTGTAGACATACCTTTTCGGTAAAACAGTTTCTAGTTGGTGGTGGACTACAACTTTTATATTGCTATAACTACTTTTGATATATATATTTCGAATTATCGGAATTGGTTCGGGCTTATTTTTACGCGGAGGAGAGGTAAAAAGGTTCACCTTTAACTGCTCATAACTTCCGAACCAGTGGATTCCTCGCTTTGAAACTAGCATTTTCGGATACTACTCGCCGAAATCTATAGAATTATATAAAAAAGAACCTAAAAATCTTAGGTCCGCCAAAGTACATTTTAACTATTAATATACACCATAAATTATTACTACGCAACTTCAACTACTATTCCAAACCACTCGTTTCTACTCATAAATGGAGTTTTACGCTCGAATAATCCGAAGTAATCTTCGGAAATTTATCGAGAGAAACTGCTCACCTCCAGCGAGGTTTCCAGAGAGTACGACCGGTAAATCGAGAGATCGGTCGTTATTTTCTTTTACCATGTTCATCAATGATTCACCAATGAGTGTTCAACACAGACACGCACCCACACTCGCGTCGTGTATCTCTGTTCGGCCAAAAGGGTGTGTTTGGTTCGGGCGATCACGTACTGGGAGCTGATGCTGATTCGAGCTACTTCAAACAGTTCGGTTTGACTTTTGGAAGTGGTTTTACATTTCGACGCTTTGACGTAAGAGCAGAATTCTTCAGAAATTGATCAAAGAAAAAGAGGAGCGCGCGGTAAATCGAGAGCTTGCCAATCGTTCTTTACTTTCGTTTCGCTTAAAATTCGCGTGTCGCGTCAGTGAACATGTTTTCTATTGCTGCATTAATTTTTGAAGTATCGCTTTTATAAATTTAGAAAGTCTGGCTATTGTAACGACGAGAAAACAATTTAAAATGAGAGACGAAATGAAAGGAAATACGTAATTAATTCCACTTTTTCAAACATTTTAAATGTAAGTGTCGAAGCACTTGGTATAGTAACTTTTTATATTTATAATAACTTTCCTGAATAATCAAGATTGCCACCATTGAACGACCAAACTTCACCCTTCATCCTTAAAGTCATTATTCCAAAAACCAGACTTTCTAAATTTACAAAAGTGATACTTGGAAAATAAATGCAGCATTCGACTAAAACTGATTCGACTATACTGATATTTAATAAAAAAACATTCACCGACATGCCAGACGAATATTTAGTGAGATGTCTCGGCCATCTACTCCATGAGACACATATATGCAAACAGTTAAACGAACCGTCCTGTGACTGGAGCTGTTTGCTGCAATAACATATCCCTTGCATCGGTGAAGTAGCAACCAACCGAGGTGTAAAGAGTCGAGGAGGGACTGTGACGATGATCCTGACGAACGCCACGCGCTAACAAACTATTTAACGTCACCTTAAGCCCCCCTAATCTTGCTGGTAGACTGCGCCGGCTGCCGTATGATATTTGTCGTTACATGGGTTGCAGGTTACGAGAGCACAGCACCAGTGGCGGCCATAATGGGTCCTCGGGAGCAGAGGGTGTCGTCGGGGTCGACGATCACCTTGAGGTGCGTCATATTGTCCCCGTATCAGACCCGGCCCATCAGGGGCGTTCAATGGCTACGGGATAACAAACTCCTAACATTCCAGGTAATGCAGCAAACCTCGGTCGCGTCGGATGGACTCTAATGAAATTTTTTTATTCGACCTTTCCCTTCCCGCGTACTCCGGGGGTACTTCCCTCGAATCTCTGCGAGGAAAAAAGGAACGCGATTGTATGTCATAGCGATGACGGGAGACGTGGATTTGTATGTAGGTACATGATTCGATGATTGTCCGTGTATATATTCCTTGGAAATGTTTAATGGGTTGTGGAGAATTCGTAGGGGTTGATTTGGAGATTGGTAATGTTGTGGGTGAGGAGAAATTAGATGGTGAGATGGTTAGACAGGGAAGTGGGGTGGAATTTGATCTGCGTGGATCAAGTGCTTCAAGTGTTATTTGATGCAAGTGATGTTTATTATGTAATTTTGCATTTGAGATGACAAAGAAAGATGGCGCACTGCCTTTAATATTCTTCAATATTATGATTTGGAGATTGGTAATATTGTGAGTGAGGAGAAATTGTATGGTGACAATTAGACAGGGAGGTGGGGTGGAATTTGATCTGCGTGGATCGAGTGCTTCAAGTGTTACTTAATGCAAGTAATATTTATTATAAAATTTATCCTTGGAGATAATTAATTGTAACAAAGATGGTCAACTACTTTTAATATTCTTCAATATTATTAACTGTATTTTAGAGACTTCAGCAATGCTTCCTTGAAAGCAATCCCATTTAATTTCAAGAGCTCTACAAAAAAAAAGAGAAAATAGAGATACACCACACTCCACTTTGTTCCATTTTAAGAAGACGTAGAATTCTAGAAAGTCTATGTCACATTACAAGGGGTAGCTTCGAGTTCACTCACGCCATCGATAATTATCCTGCAATATTCTATATGGGGTGTTCAGCAACAGGTGTTTGGGGCTTCAAGGGGTGACTCTACGTACCAAAATAAGACGAAAATCAAGTACGACGAATATACATATAATTTAGTCCTACTGTATATAAATTTACTCGATGTGAAACTATTTCTAGATATATTACAAGTTTACTTAGGAGACCAGTTCATCTATTATTTAATTCTGTCTTTTCTCTAATTATTCCTTTCGAAAATCTTATGAGAAGCCTCACATACTTGTGACCTAATGCTCCACAAAATCATAATTCAACGCTGCCAATGGCCCTACTGCGGCACTCTCTGGCACGTTTCGACACTAAACGGGAACACCGAGATCGCACTGCTTGGCACTCAAACTGTTAAGGCAAGTTTCGTACTCAACGAACACATGAACTATAAACTTAATCTCAAGATTAATTTAGACGATATCTTACAATGTTCACGTGGCAGTAGTAATAATTCCGAATGCAGCACGCAGATTGTAGTGATTAACGAGCGGGGATTAAATTATTCCTACTAGAACGAAAAACGATCCAAAGCAAGATTGTTTTAAAGAATTAATTTAAAAAGAAATTCGATTATCAATATTTATTTCATCGGCTCACAGCGTTTTTCACTATATAACGGGTCATGAATTTCGCCAGTTCGAGAATAAAAAGATTTTCAGTCTTAAAATAAATTCATTTCCAGAGAAAGTAACCTGGGAGTAAAACTTTTCTGAGTACTTCAAGATAAGGAATATTAGACGAACAATCACATACAAATGAAAAAAATGAATACCTAATCAGTAGACTGCGGATCTTTACGCATTTATAGGAAATTTGAATCTGCAAAAGCTTACAAAATGCAAACAACATGTATAAATATAAAAAGGATTGAAAGTAAAGTTCATATTATAATATTTGCAGAATACAATAAATTCCTATTTAGGTTCAATTTTTGTAGCCACGTTTGCGAAGATTTTATTTTATATAAAGATTCGCAGTTTACTGATCAGTATTATGTCACAAGTACATACAAACACGTCTTCCAAAGGCTCGAGCCCAAAAACCGTTCACGTCGATACTCATTTCATCCGCGAAGATCGTCGTAATTTATCTCGCGTTATTCATTATGGAATTACGAAACCGTCAACGTTCCCGAGGACGTGTATTTAACTTTTCCCAGCCGTGACCGTTTTCGATAGTAATATACGCTTGGTAAACATCAGAGCGCGCCAGGAAACAGCGTGTATACTTTACAGATGAAATGGTATCAATTGTAAACACTCCCGTTTTCCAGCGTTCGCAAAAAAAAAAAAAAACATAATCTGTCCCTGACGAGCTCGACCGAAACGATCTACGGAATTTCCCATTGAATTTGCCGTTTGCATTATTTACAGGCTGCACGAGGCGGAATAAACGTGGAGACCGAGAGAGGCTCGGCACGCACGGTCTCCGAATTGACTTTGGCGTCGGTCACGACGAACGACGTCGGAAAATATTCGTGCAGACCGACGGAGGGACGAACGGACACCGTAATGCTGATCGTCGACCCAGGTTAGCGTTGAAAATTTCGTTTATACCGCGGAAAAGTTCGTGGGGGACAATTTCTCTTCTCCTTTCTTCGCCAGCGATGTTGACAGGGAAATTTCCACGACGTTATCGAACCTTGTATATTGTGTATTTCTCCATTTTTATTACGATTTGCAGGCTTGGTACCCTTTGCAGACTATCCTAACGACTGGAGAGTCGCTTTTGAGCGGCGAACGAATAGTGTAATATGATCTATTGTCTCACCGATACGTTTCGACCGACTGCTTTCTTTCCTCGGACCTCTTTCTCTTTCACTCAAATGTAGACACAGAATAGAAACCTCGACTTCTTGCACTTATCCAAGCTTTACTGTATATGGAGTTTTATTTACTGGTGACTTTATTTTAAGGAATGATAACTATGATAATAATATTTTCTGTGTCCTATTGTGGTTTTTAATGGGATATTTAAAATACATATGGTTCAAGGTCTGAACAACCCTCTCTCTAACACAAGCAGTCAACTAGCCTTTTATTTGTACTTTCAAGAAATAATAATTACAATAAAAATAATTTCTGTGTCCTATTGTGGTTTTTAATGGGATATTCATAATACATGTGATAAAAATCTCAATTGTCGTAAAATATTGATCCTCTTCAAGGTCTGAGGACCTCTAATCAGGAATCACCCTCTTTCTAACGCAAACAGTCGATTACACTTTCAATTATAATTTGATTCATCCATGTTAGATTCCAGAAAATCTATTTATTCTTGAATTCCTCTTACCAACGAAGCTTCGAACACCAACATCAGTGTATGAACATGCCAACAATGTATATAATACGAGGTGTAGCTCTAGAACACTGCAAAACAACACCCCCAGCGTTTCAAAACTCTTACCAACATTCGCGATGGCTCGTCAGCGATCGAATCACGTTTTTCCCGAAAGAAAAACGTAAATATCAAACCAGTGGCGAAAGAGTGAAACAGCGGTACCGAAGAGAGGGTATACCCATGATCTAAAGTCGCGCCTTAAGATTACTCGAAACACTTTAAAGTTTTAAGGAGGCGGCAGTATTTCACGGCGGAACTATTTGTCTAGCTCAGCCCCTCGGTTCGCCGCGGACGTCGTTTGGGGTCGCAAGAAAGAGAGAAAATCCCGGGGAAAACGGGTGGTTCATGTGTCCGCATGAGAAATAGAGAAGGAAAGGACGGAGCACGTGGCTCGAGCGTCAGTAGAAAGGAGAAAGCGGACCGGTGGCAAGGGCGGAAGGGTAAAGGAGAGCCGTAAGCACACTTGCATGCGGAATTCACAGGCAGTAGTCTCTATTATCGTGAATTTTCCTTCGGAAGTTATTGCGAGGAAGCGGCGGGCCGCGCGACGTCGCATTTTTCCTGGCCGAGCGACGCCCACCGTCGCTACGTGCGCGCGTATACATGCACATGCGTGTGCAACCGCCTCGCCCTTATTCCTTTTCTCTTGTTCCGCGGGTACAAGGCTGCCGGAACTCGCCATAAATCAGAACTTCGCCGACTCGTTTCGTAGTTTCACAGATTGCGAATTTACGCAGTTTAAAGGCGACGCTGCCGGAGCGGTCGCTGTTTCCTAGCGATTTTTCCGCGTTCGGAGACGTTAAATGCGTTTTGATACCATTTGCGGAGTGGAAACGATGATGGCTCTTTTAAAGTCGAGTTTCGTGGGCGAAGAATTGGAGTGATGGTGTGGATGTTTGTGGGATTATGGAGAGAGGGAATTTTGGGAGAATGAGCGAGGAAAGTGTTGATGATACAGTAGATGTTACAACGGGTAGATAATGAGACGTACTTTTTTTTCAATTTTAATTTATAGTTTGTATTTGGTAATGGTTATTCGAAAAAATCGAAAAAGTTGAGTTTTTTGTACGACAATTTTGATTTTGTCAACTTTTTGATAAATATCGTAGTTGAGACATTTTATTCGACACGCCTGATATTTTTTAAAGTTTATTTATAATTGAAAAATGAATCTAGAGGAAAAAGTCTGAAATCACTTTTAAAAAATTCTTCAATATTCGACTGAAAAAGTTGAAATATTTCTACAACAATTTTGAATTTATCAATTTTTTACTAAATATCGTAGTTGAGACATTTTATTTGACACATCTGATATTTTTAAAATTTTATTTGTAATTGTAATTTGTACCTACAGAAAAAAATAATTTTGAAACTACTTCAGGGTGTGTAGTATAGAATAATCCAACAGAATAATCTAACAGAAAATGATTATTCCCTAAAAAGTACCAGTTTTGTGCTTGCATATCTTCGGTTGCCAAAGAAAACGTTCTAGTGTCTTCCGACAACGGAATTGACGATCTCAAATCTGAGAAGTATCCGATCCATCACCCGTTGTCATACGAACACAGAAGTCGTCGGACGCTTCGTCGAACCGAGTACAATGAAGGATGGTACGCGTAGGAAAAAAAGATAAAAGGAAAACGCGGAAAATAACTAACCATTTTCCACCGGGAACGCCCAGAATTTTCGGGTAATTCAATCGATTGTATGATGAAACGGTAGACAAACGTCGTTCGTTACGCGAAACGTGTAACATTTTGCTGGAAGATATCGATCGCACTGATAAATCAGAGTTTCGCCAATTCGCCGCACGGTTTTCCAAATTGCGAATTTACGCATGTTTATGGCCACGCTCGAGTAGGTAGTACCAAAAGAATTACCGTTCGAACGGAATTAAACGCGACCGTCACGATTGTTCGACGAGGAGATGATTTTTACGAGCTTACAGAGACACAAATGTCCTCATAAATATCGTCGTAAATATCGTGTAAACTGCGTCTCGATGAAACACCGTACCAATCGCGGGCTCGAATAAATTTTAAACAACGAACGGTAGCTTGGAAGGAATTATTAACATCCAATCCTCGCTCGAATCGTGCAATTATGGCAGCGAGCTGAGAAGTTGGTCAGTTCTGTGGCTAGGAGAGAAATGCGTCCAATGTGGACGCCACGAGTGAAATTACCTGTTACTATATTGGATAAAGGAGACAATAAACTGAGGAATAACAACAAAAGTTTGTAGATTTAAGTAGCGAGCATCTAGACATTCTAGAAACATTGTTGATAAAAAGGTTTCTCCAGAAATAAAATAAGAATAAATTGGACACTAAGCCGAACGTCTCCTTTCTGATACTCTACCTTAACCCCAGCGATTGAATCCATCGCTGAGACTTACCAGTCACTCGCAATGGGCGATCACTGCATTGCATTAATCTTGGCCAGTTAATTATTGGTTTGTAATTATGGTCATTAACGACCGAATGAAATTAGCGTCGTACCCTTCCACAACAAGGTTTTATGCCCGACATGGTATTTCCCAGTTAATTAATTTCTCTTCTTCTCCTCCCTTTGCGACTAATATCCTCCGCCTCGTTTAATATATCACTGTTTTCGGACGATAACGGACGACTCGCGTAATTGCAACGAATAAATACAGCCGAGAAATCCGAAATGTAAGGGGAGAAAGGGGGCGGAAAAAAAGAAAAGTATGGATTCCCGTTCCTTCCACTATTTTCCGCGCGCGTCGCCGAGCAGCGCAGTTACGTATGCACGCTCGAAAGCGTTTACCAGGGCCATAAATCAGAACTTTGGCGACGCGTCCCGGCGTTCTGCAGATCGCGAATTTACGCATTTTATCGCGACCGTGGCGTTTCCATCGGGGATGGGATTAAAGGCGCCTGCCGTGGCGATTTTTATGTTGCGCGCGCCGAACAACACGCGTCGCGAGTCCTGTAAACATCGACGACGGAATTGCTTCGGGCTGGCTTCGAGACGCTGCTAACGAATACCGATAAGTTATCGAGATATCGATAAAGCGGATAGTAGCAACCCTGGCTGAACGAAACGAGTATTAAATTTATCGTTGGGATCTACTTGGTCGTATTTATTACTGAATGTATAGCTATGGATGGCTTTGGATTATATTTAAGTTGTGCAGTCGCGTAACGAAGAATAAATGCATCAACGGTATGAATAAATGGAAATTGACTGTTGTTTGGGGTGCCGACAATGGTGATCGATAAATCGTTCGACAGTAGTCGTTCTTGGGACTTTCAAAGAGATTGGCTTCTTCTTATTGGCTTCGTCTTTTGATATTGAAGTTATTCGATAGGCTCAAAAACTTCTGTATATCAAGTTCCCTCTAAATTCAATCATTTTTCGCATTTTGTGGCGTTATGTTGTATCCGCCATTTTGAATTTCTAAATTTTGAGTTCAGATTTGGAATCAGCGACCCCGATAACCCCTATATACCAAGTTTCATTCAAATCAAATCAAATTTCGTATTTTGATCCGCCATATTGGATCCGCCATTTTAAATATCTAAATGTCTGTCAGTCATTTATAATTGCCTATAAAATAGGAAACTTTGAGGTGTCATAGCTCAGCGTGGAATCGTCCGATTCGATTCTACCAAAATTCAAATTAAAGGGTGGAATTTCTACTATCTAATAGGTATTTACAATCATTGTTAGATACTCTTAAACAATTGTCTTTTTAAATATATAATTATTAAATATTATTCTTATTGTACCATGTAGGTATTATTAAAAATCATGTGGAATGTTACCTCAGCTAAAAAGTTGACGGACCACTGGTCTAGCGCGTCGGTGAATCAATCGTCTTAAATAATGAACGGTAACGGTCGTTTTTATTAATCGATGCCCCCCGCCCCCCCTCCCTCCCTCCTCCGCCAACGTTGAGCAGAATCGACGAGCGGTGATTAATTAATCGGGGATGGCCGTAAAAGAGAGAAAAATGACTTTTTCGTAAGTTCGCAACCAGCGCAGGCAACTGAAAAGCGTTCCGTGTTAATTTTTCACGCGACTGATGCGATTCGTTGACAATCTCCCCAAAGCAAACGGGTTTCCAAGCGAAATGGATTCGACGATTGCACGGAATTGCGACAAAACGCTATCTCAGCGGACCGCTCGCGAAAAGCAAGTTCGTCGGTTTCAATCGTACCACAGTG